TAAGCCTAATTTTCTTGAGCCATGAGGAGCCCAGTTTTAGAAGAATGCAACGGTCTACATAGCTCAGGGGTGATTCGTAACCAATAAGCATTTTAGTGAATGAACGCTGGACGTTCTCAATTGCATTCGACCTGCTATAAATAGACCAGAGAAAATTATAAGACAGTATTCTAAGTGTGGTCTCGTGTGGGATAAGTAGGTACTTAATATGCTCTTTCTTAGTATGAAGGATTTGGTTATCATACCCATTATCTGCTTGGTTTCAGCAGTTTGGAAGCAAAAATGTCCAGAAAACTTAGTATTGTGTGAGTAGTGGAGCCGAAGATCACGCAATGACATACAGGATTGAATAGGTGCATGATTTATCATGAGGGATCCGGGTGGGACTAGAGATCTGTGTGTCGTGTAACAGCTTTTTATTGTCAAAAAGTTCATCGTACACAAGGTGTACCGCTGGTTAAGTCGTTTTAGGTCTTTGTTGATGTTTTACAGTGTGGTGGCAAGATTTTGATGATGGACTTCGTAGACCATCCTAATGTCATCAGCGAAAAGAAAGGAACCACTATGATGTAGGACTGAAAGTACATCATTCATGTAGAGTAAAAAAGTAATGGATTAAGTACACTTCCCTGTATGATACCTCTGATCACAGGAACGGGTTGCGTTAGGTGACTGCCAACAGATACTACTCGACTGGAGAGGTAGGGGGTGACCCATGGTAAGATAGGACAAAGAAAACCGTATGCCTTAAGTTTTACTAGTACATTGTGATGAGAAACACTGTCAAAGCCTTAGTCACGTCTAGATATATGACGATTATAGACTTTTTTATCGGCTGCAATGGTTATGAGGTTAAAAAGTGCATACCGACAAGTGGTACATTATCGTGATTATAAGAACGAATGCTGACCAGCATGTATAAGACTGTGAGAACGTAGGAAGTCAGATATGCGTTGTTTAACCAGACGTTCCAGTATTCTGGAGGCAATAGGTGTTTGGTTATTGGGGCGATAATTAGAGGGATCACTAAGTGAGCTTTTTATGTATGGGATGATAAGAACCAGCTTCCATCGACATGGAAAGATACCAAAATATAAGGACAGGCTGAATAGATTCAATAATAGAGCTGTCACATCAGTTTCACCGTAACGAAGCAGTGTTCGTGAAATGCCATCGTGCCTAGGACGCGAGGAGGGTTTTACTGTGGCATGTAGTTGGGGTACTTTTTAAGGGTAAAATCCAGACGGGAGAGAACATGATCAGTGAAAAGTGCAACGTAGGAGGTGTTCATGCCATTATCCGTAGTCATGGATTTGGAGAAAAAAGAGGTTAAGTGTTGCAGTTATCGCGTTGGGAGAGGTGATATGAGATTTGTTTTCAGTAATGAGGCATGGAATACCGGTTGACTTATCCTGAGTTCGCTCCTTGAGTAATCGTGGTACATAAAATGATTTATCCGAACTATTCAAGGCAAAGAATTCTTGTTTCCTTGGGGTTTCCTCTATTTCCAGTCTCATGCTCGCAGAAATGCGGTGCAGCTGCAAGAAAACTGAGAAGTCCTTAATTTTTGTTTGAACATTTTTAGTTTTATGTATTTCTTTTGTAATCTCTCGAGAGGAGAAATGCAAACGAAGCGTAGTGTGGTTTGGGTGTTTGTGATTGATTTAAGACAAGATGAGCGGTTAGAGTAAAGGAAATCCGCGGATAACTGGGGATCATGTTGCATGGAATATTCGTCCCAGCTGAGGAAGAGAAGTGCGCATACGAAGCTTTATCATTGAAATATGGTAACATATGTTAAGAGTGACCTAGGGGAGCTGGGAATGTAAAGGATAACATTTGATGATCACTACCACGGAACAGACCGAGAGTATTTGCTTTGGCTTCGGGTAGATTTAGGGTGAAAATTAAATCGATGGTACTTTTTCCTGTTGTTGGGGATACTACATGTTGGAGCCAGCGTCCAACGCGAGAGTAAGAAATAAAGTCAAGTAAGTTTGAATGAACAGATAAAGTTTTCCAACAAACCTCTGGGGCATTAAAGTCGCCTGCAAAGAGTTTGGCAGAAAACGTTAAGAGAAAAAAATGGTCGAATGCTTTGACTATCTTTATAAGATTAACTGTGGTTGAGTCAGGTGGCCGGTATATACGGTCAGTGTGGAAAGAGATTAGGGAAACGAATTTTTAACCAGTGGGATTCAGGGACCGCATAAACTGACGGGTGGGACAGGAAAATAGACATCAGACAGCTTCCCCCCGACGAAGCCAGTCCATTCTAAAGGTCTGATAGTCTGTAATTGTGATGTGATCATGCGGAACTGAGTCAGCTAACCACGTTTCTTTGACAAAGATGATATCATAATCAAAGAACTGAACAATGCTAGGAAGAGTATGTAATTTATTCAGAACCGAGCAGGCACTTATTGATAGGACGAAACACGGGGACGAATTTATTGCAAGGCAGGACACGCAGATTATTGCATGAAGAAGTGAGAAGGGGACTTGTTTAAAGATAAGTATTTTCTCGAGAACGTTTCATAAGTGAAGTTTGTGTGCCTTTTTGAATTCCTTACCTTCGGACCGTGTCCCATGGTTCTGACATAAATCGCATTCTGTATAATGAGGCTTGTTTTCAGCATGTTCAAGACCGGAGATTCTTACCTAATAGACGCCCATTAGCCCGGTGGTCGTTTGATGCATCTGTAGGAGTTTGCACGCAGTCGGGATGGCTTTATGTTTCTTCTTACCATATGTGAGAGCTCGCAGCTTTCTGTGCTGACAATGATTGAATTAAACATTTAGTTCGTTATAAAGGAACCTGTCACGCGGGCTGCTGCTATGTCAGACACTTCCTGGAAGATTGCCACAGAGTAGTGTACGTTTTGTCAAGAAGTGATAATCAAAAATTTGCTCCATCTTTAAGCAACTCCGTGGAGTTGAGATTGTCATTGAAGTTGAAAAAAGCGTTGCAGTTACGATCAAATACGGTCTTGGACGAGCAACGGCAACTGAGTGGTTGTTCGGAATGTACGATCGTAGTCTAAAGAAAGACCATTTTTAGCGAATTGGAGATCCGTCTGGGGAGAAATCGCTACCGTTAATACAAAGATGATTCTAATCAGGAACTACAGTGCATGCTGATCAATTGGCGGCGTATCTTTGCTTGTGTTCCATGGGTCATGCCCATATACGTGTGAACTATACTAATGGTTTAATTATTCCAGCAACTAGGGTTTACACCAATAATATGAAATCCTTCTGGAGCCGCAATAAAAGGCGGATGATAAATGTGACCGGATCGTTCGATGATGTGATTTGGGAGCATTTATCTGCGGTCCAGGATCGAATGTGGTTGGATTTCGCCATCCAAACATTCACGAATAACATATTTTGCAGCATATCACACAATTATATACATGTAAAAACTTGAATAAATATTATTGAGCCAATATATCTCAGTAATCTTACGCATATGTGGTGGGTATCAAGTTTGGTGTTTCGTATACTACTTATAGGGAGCATATTTATTTTCTAAGTTTACTCAGGTTGGGATGTTGAAGGACTACGTACTCTGAACTGGTTGTCGAGCTCGCCGGGATTTCTACCCTTCAGCATGAAACGGGTGGGTGGGTGTGGCAGTATGAGGGTTTGTTGGCCTGAGTTGCGGAAGAGTCGAACCGACGAGAGCCGCCACTGGGTCAAGTTTGAATTCTTTGGTTCATATCTGGATCGGGCAGTGATCAGAGATTAAACCAGATTGTGCCACTTGGTAGCCGTACTCTAATAGTGGCTGTACACGGGTAACATCATTGAGGGGCAAGTCCTGCATCAGAATGTGCGGAAGTCTTCGTTTCGTAAATCTTAGGACGCAAAAAGTACCTTCGCTACCGGCATTGTTGAAGTTGGACAATTAGGTGGTTCGCTAGTAACGATTGAATTTGTACTGGTCGGCTTGGGTGATTAAATATGACGGTGGCGTTGAATGAATTGATTGTAAAAATTAAAAATCATGGGTGAAACATGGATGTGGTCTTAGAATTGACTAGCATAGGCCTCAATTACTATGTGGCTCGAGTGTCCGAGAGGTGTTCACCACGTTGTTCACTCCAACACGTTGAAAGTAGAGACACTGTCAAACAACATAGAAACCCTTTTTCGCTGGAACTAGTCTTGGAGTCAGGGAATGAAGTGCAATTGGTACTACAGGGAACTAACATACCTAGATGATCAGGGTGAGTTTCAATCAAACATGAAACTGAGGATAGAGAAGAACTCAATACCGATCTGAGTGAGTTACGTAGGGTTGGTGTAAACGTCATCCCCCACATAAAAGATTTTCTGGTGGAATTGAGGTCATTTCTCAGTTGGATTCCGCTTCGAGTGACTGTTTAGAACACTCCTTGGTGGAGGTGGATGGGCGTCGACAGACTTACCATTTGCCGACGACAGACCCTTACTAAGCAAACACTAATAGCCGGAAAATTTGGCGTTAAAAAAGTCACCTCTCTCGTGGTTCTGATGCAGACAAGGGTGATGCCCACAGAAAACCATAGATTGCAGCGGAAAAACGTTGGTTGAACAATGAGACAGCTTAAAATGATGCTCATATACTTGGACAACTTGAAATGATGTTCGAACAACTTGAATTGCAAAAGACGTCGAACTGATCAGTACGGGAAATGCCTCAAAATTGCCATAATATAGGTTTTAGTTGTCAAATACGAGCTGCTAAGCACACAGGTAAATTGGGAGATGGGTTGGGATTACGGGTCCCCTTTCTATATTATGTTGTTGAAATTGGGATTGTTACTCTAAACGAAATCAAAATTATTTCAATCTTATCTAGGAAGCGAAATAGCATTGGGATCAGAAACGTATCTCGTTACAAGAAAATTAATTTGGTTTCGGTTGAAAGTTCGTATATTTCTTTAAAAGAAATGAAACAGTTTACTGATTTCGGCAAAAAGTCCGTGAAAACCTTTGTTCATTTGCGCTCCAAACTACGTGTGTTTTGGTGTCTTTGGTCTGAAGAAGGGCTCCACAATCAACTCGATGTGTTCCTTTTTCGTGCGCAAAGCACTCAGTGAAGCATCTCGAGTTTTCTCTAACCAACTTTCCCCGTCGATGCAAGCGGTCTCCAGCATTTTCTAGTATAAAAGAAAGATTAGGTGAAATAAATAAAGAGAACATCAGCATTCTCCCAATTCTAGCATACCTTCTCCTCTTTTGTAAATTCCGCTTTGTCTGCCCCCGCCAGTACACCACGTGTTTGTTCCAGTAGCGCATAAAAATCCTGTCGACATTCTGATCAAGCAAGCGAGTACGGAAAAGGAAAATTTATACAGTTACAATTGGCCGGATGGGTTTCCACTTACCGGCCCAAAGCATCATCTCATTCGAGGCCTTGTTCTCGTATTTCTCAGACAAATTGTGAGGTGTTTCATTCAAGTTGTTCCCGGGGAACAGCTCCGCGTGATTTGTGTAAAGATAACGAACCAACTCGGGTCGATTCCACATGTTTGCATAGTGTAACAATGTGTACCCTACGGACAAACAGATCAAGTTCGAGAAGAACGAATAAACAAAAAGGACCATAGAGAATACATACCACCTTTTCCTTTTGTGTTCACACTGAATCCGGCGTTGATCGCTTTATCTACGTGTTCCATTGAGTTTAAAATGACAAACAGTTCCAAATTAGTGTGCTGAAATTCATCCATTTCTTGCATCTCTTTGAGAAGCTCCTCCGGATTGGGCTCCAACGCACTGAGTCGATTGCGCATATCTCCATCCAGATGAGCATGGATGGCGGTTGACAAAGGCGGTAACGACTCCAAACTGGGTCCTTTGGTTGATTGTGGACGAGGCTGAAATGATGAGAACACACTGGTTTCAATACGGTATTAAAGGAGATCATCTGGGCACTCATCAAATAGATAAACTCGCGGTATGATGGAAGTTTCATGATGATTTGCGAACTGGGCATGGCCAACCATGTTGTTACTTCAGTCTAACAAACTTTAAACATTGGTTTGAACATGCACTTTGTAGGGAAAATGCTGATTCATGGAGTGGGGGCAACGTGTGGTTTGTTTTTGATTCCATATCTAGTTGAACCAAGAAAGATTAGTGAAAAGTAAACAGCCACAAAGGGAGGGCTTGAAAATTTCATCCAGTTGGTGTGTTCAGTGAATAAGATATTGAAAGAGCTCAGTCCGGACTTAAAGCAAATGGTTTTTAGACAAGTTCCACGCGAGCTTTATTTTCGAAATAAAATTGGACCCAGCTTAGCTCAGTAGTTCAATATCGGTAGCTGGAACACAAAAGCGCAACTGGTCTGCATAATGCAACGACGACTTCACGATTAATGCTTGCGTGTTCCAGGAGTGGATCGGTTCTTTAGAGCACCATATTACAAAAAACAAACAAATAGATTGATTAGCAGTATTAATGGATACTTTGTGGAGCATTTGTTAGCTTGATCATTTGAGGTTAGTTGATGGCTTCTGGTTTCACCTAGTTTGCAGTGTGCGGGCTCTGCGTGGCTCCAAGCTGAACCTAGTTTACGCGTCTCCGGGAGTACGTGATTTCGCGATCACATGGAATATTGGACAACCTGCATTAGTGAAAAAAGAAGGCAAATGCAGAAACAGCCTGTCCGTATAGGGACCAATACCCGTGGCACTTTAATCCACCCCGAGGGTATGGATGAATGCTTGATCTAGTAGTGTCTCTCGTAAATATTATCAAGAGACAGAAATTCTTCATAGAATAGGAATTTCCTCTTACTCGATTCAATGGGCGAGTATTCGTCTTATTCAGCTGAAATCGAATAAAATTTGGTTAGATCAATCTGTGAAAATGACTTTATTCCAGAATGCATCTCATCGCTCTTCAGTACAATCATTAAAAAGTGAGCAGAAAAAGCGAAAATCAAATCAAATCCCAACTGTTATGATGCAAATCTGCATCGATTCACTAAGATCTATGAACAACTGGCAGTTTTTTGAGTGTACAGTACACGGCATAACTGTGCTGTTCAACACATTCAAAGCGTCAATTTTACACCACGTGGTATTCAAACCGGTATAACTCATTAAGGATTATTCCAAATTGTACGAACGTTCATGAGTTTGTTCAACGGAATTCACCAAATCTCTTATAGGAATACCGTGTGAATACGACACATTTTGTGATCGTGAAAACAATTTCATTCAACTCTGCCAGTTAGTGAATGACCTGGATTACGTTTCACAAGCAAACGTTTTGAAGATGTTAAGAAAATTGTAACAACTTTTCCCTGTAAGGAATTTGAATAGAGAATACAGTAAGTTTAGGTTGCACAGTTTCTATGCGGATATATTCCGCTGTATCCCACCAGTTGCATACTACAAATTACATCACAATAATGATCACAACAAATTGATAAAAAAACTAATGAATAACGTTATAACATTTTTTTACGTGCAAACTATTGGTCAACCTCCAACAACCAGACAAGCATCACTTTATTCAACTAATTGCTTTTTTATTGAATAAATAACTATCAGGAGAGAGCAAGTGGGTAATGAGAGTGGTGGTACGTGATAGAACAGAACGAAAAAAGTCAGATGGTGGAGATTGACCGTCCAATCTCGAATGACTGTGATCAACAACTTTTGATCAAGTCAACTCACTTTGGTTTCGTTACCACAAGACAAATACACTAATCTGCATTTAATACGACTAGATTTCTAGACATTTGCTGAAAGTGACATGTCTTCTCCTATTTCCTGATGGTGTTCTGATACGGTTTACTACAGGTAAATTAATCAGTGAGGTGAAACTGTTTTTACTGGCATACAAACGTTGATTACGGTATTTAAAAGCACCTGTTTGCTTATTTTTTTTCATTCACTTAATTTTATTTAAATTAAACAACCAAGTTNGGGAGTGATCATGTACAGAGCTATCAGAAGAGATGAAAATTGCAGAAGCACGATAGCATCCTGCATCTTCCGATTCACCTTGTTGATTATTGTCGGAACTAATGCCTCACTGCTCACTTCACACACACACACACACACACACACACTTCTTGATGGAGAACCCATACTGTTCACACATTCATTCTGATTTTCCATCGAAAATTTGACACAATTTTTTCCGTAGAACTAGTGTGTGCTACTCTATTGCATATTTAATACTAAGGATCTTCGAAATCCGCGTTTCTCCTTATTGCAAATATCTAATAAATAAGTA